CAGCTCCCTCGCTGGGTATTTTCAAGAAACAACTGAAAACATGGATGTTCAGGCAGGCCTTCCCCCTTTCTACCTAATACCTTCCTTTTCTGTTATAATATATCCCGTTTCTCGCCATCTATGGGAAAAAATTTTATTCTATCTTTTAATTTATGTAAATTATTATTTGTGATGAGGTTTGTTATATGTTTATTTTTTAAGTGCATGTTGTAAGCTGCCTAGAGTGGTCACAATTGACTAGATAGGCGGGGTATAAATGAAATAAATAAATAAATAAATAAATAAAATATTGTATTCTCCATTTTCACCATCTTAAGTACTTTTTCTCTGCTTGTACTGATATAACCATTTAGGCTTCTTTTTTTCCTCCTCTACTACCACCTGCATTTGCAGTAACCCACAGCCTCCAATTTTCCATAGTATTCTCCATTTTCACCATCTTAAGTACTTTTTCTCTGCTTGTACTGATATAACCATTTAGGCTTCTTTTTTTCCTCCTCTACTACCACCTGCATTTGCAGTAACCCACAGCCTCCAATTTTCCATAGTAAATACAATCTGTCCACATTACTCTTTGGATGTAGTATGTGATGCATGTTCATTTGTTTCCATGTTTTTCAATCCAGTTCGTCTAATTCATTTTGGGTTGTTGCTATTGTTGTTTTTTTTTCTGAAATAGCATTATAATTGTCACCTAGTGATAGAATATTAGCATTACAGCAAATATTAATGAAAGTGTATAGGGCAGAAAGAAACAGATTGAAGCAAAGGTCTACACCCTAAGTTGGTTAAGCAGTCATAGAAAGACAAATCTCACCTCTAGTTATGTTTTCCAACAGAGTATATGTGAAACGATGTCAGTGATAATCCAAGGAATTGCTTGTGGAAACCATTTATCCTTAAAACCGAAACTTATTGGAAGATTTATTCTTGCCTATACATCATGAGATTGCCAAATGACTAAAAATGAAAGTAAGTAATATATAAATCATCAATGTGCAAATCAATACAATAATAATAATAATAAAATAAATAATAGGCAATTTCTTCTGCTTGTATTACAAGTTCTTCAGGGGTAAACAGTAAGGGTTATTCAAGGCAGAATCCTTATTTCCATCAAAATCAAGATGAATTATTTCATAAGTAGTTTTAATCATCCTACTGTCCTTAAGTCTTGGCTTAAAATTAGATTCTGCTCTCTCTAATTCTGCTCTCTCAAGGCATATTTATCTTGTAATGGTCATTCTTGTCAATATTACTGATCATGACAATATAACACCTGGGTAACTGCTACTATGTATTACTTGGAGTAGTGCAATCCTGTGAGTATATCATTAGACTCATATCCCAAACAGTGTACTGTATGTTGCACAGTGCATATCACATTCACTTTCTCTACAGATGTACAGAAGTTGCAACAGCCTAAATGAACCCCACTCAATGATTCATGTCTTCTATTTTGACATGGAGTAACTGAGGTATTATAAATCACAGCTTTGACGGTATGCTATGGGCAGGTTCTTCTAAGTAAAATACACAGTGTTCTAATTCAGTTCACATAACAAGCATCCAAATTTCTTAATAAAGAATAAAAAGATGGCTCTATTTTCATAAACATTAGCACTGATTATCATGTCATATATTATCATATCTACAAACTGCAAGAGTTTAGGAACAAACGGATCAGGGCCAAATATATTGCCTGAAAAGATATAACTGAAACTCATAGATGAAAAATATTATCAATGTATACGACATTCTGGCTAGAATTCAGAAAAGAAATCACTGTAATGATTGTGGGGGGAAGGGGATCTATGCTTGGAAGCAGACAGGAAGAGTGTGACCCTTGCTCATTCCTTCTAGATCTTTCTGTGGCTTCAAACTATCATATCATTTTGAATTACATAGGACAGATAAGACCTCAGGTCATCATATTGCGGTTTCTCTTTTCACTGAAAAGGCAATGCCAGAAGTTAATATTGCACTCTCTTCTATGAATTTTAACCTCAATTTTATCTGCTGTTCTCTTTAGTCCCTGCATGGATCATTCACAGTTTTGAAATCAGGTACCTTGTATCTGATTATGACTACTTGTCCCACCCTCGTAATATCCAGGTGGAGCTGTGGGTTGAATGAGTGCCTGAGTGCTATTTTGGATTAAAGGAACAAATTGATGGCTCAAACCAAATACCTGTTCTGGTTTCCATAGCAGTCCAGCATTCAAAAGCACTCAAGTGGAACATTAAGACTCAAAACCAAAAGATGTTTCCAGAAATCTCATATCCCGCAGCTGCGGGATTTAATTTCTTTAAAGCATTCAAAATCCCAAAATTCATTATCATGTGACACAGAATTCCACAAATTATTCATGTGCTGTAAGAACCACTACTTACTCAGTCTGTCCTTAATGGTTTGTAAATGATTGGTTTCTTTGGATCACTCAAAGGTTTAGCAGTATACCATATTGTGGAAAATTCTCCACATGATTCATAATTAAATAGTATGAGAACCAGTCAACCCTTTACTTTTCATGCCCCGGAAAGCTAAACAGCCTTGAATATAATCTAGATGTAAGGTGAAAGTGATTCTGTCAGATATTGCTAACCTTCCTATTTTCTATCATGGCTAATTTCTGTTTGCATAGTTCAGAGATCTAAACTGGGGCAAGGAGCTGTAATTATCCAACAGCAAACCCTTTGGCCTTTTGCCGCAGGGTCTAATTAGACACTGTATCTTTCAGAAGTGTACATGAAAAGGCTGTTATAAAAGCAGGACCTGTTGGTAGTTGAGAGATGCAGGAGGAAAATTTCCATCTCTATATAATAAGTCCTACTTGAAATGAAAAGGCAAAGTACAAAATTCTTCATGAGGCATATTATATTGAGTAAACCTCCAAAACATTATCATTAGAAGAAGAAAATGCATCTCACATTCTGTGGTCAGTCACCATTGATGGTGCTATGGTTGGACAGAAACATTCCTGATGTGAGAATGAAGATGTGTCCTCTGTCCCACTCCAAAGTACCTTTTTAACAAACAGGAATTTATCAGGGGGATCAGTGTGAAAAGAAATGTCCTTCTTGGTTGTTTTTTTCAACAAGAGATTTATGGTGTGCAGTAAGTTATTTCAGCCTCTTCTGATTTGTCGTCGTTGTTACATGCTACCACGTTGCCTCCAATATATACCAACCCTTTGAATGAGTGACTTCCAAAATGGCCTATCAGTAATAGCTCTATTCAGGTCTTGCAAGCTCAAGGCCATGGCTTCCTTTTTAAAGTCAATCCATTTTGGGATTGTGCCAGGCTTTCAGTCTCTATATGACAGCCATATTGCTATCGGACATTCTGAGTCCATGGACTAAATTAGAGTATATATCAAGCTGAATAAACATCTGATTCAGGACTTAATACACTATATAGCTGCATAGGCCCAGAGTGTCCTCAGAAGAAGAGACTAGTAAAGCATTGCTAGAGAAACCTGACAAAGGCTGCCATAATTTGGAATCAACTTGATAACACACAACCATCAATATGTAAATACACTTCTCCCTTCAACAACGCTGCAGTTAGGGGAAATGAACTCAGTTTGGGGAAAAAAGAAAGTTGTTGTTGGTTGTTCTTTCTGTCAAAAAGGGACATCATTTGTAAGCCATTACTGCTCAAGGAACTATTTACCAGAAAAAGTTAAAAAGTAAACTGTACTGGAATCTTACATTATTTCTCTCCCTTCTCCCTCTGGCACACATATCCTCAGGAGATATTAGAAGCACAAACCAGTATGTCTGAAGACCATGCTAGTTCCAAAATACAGTAATAGAAGAGAATCTTAACTCAGTGGCAATCAAATGTTGAATAAATATGCATAGGGCTGCAGTCCTACAAATCCATAACTTGGGAGTAAGTCCAGGGCAGCTGAAAGGACTATCTGAGCTCCTGTATACGCAATTGTCCCTTGCCTTGTCATGCTGCTCACAAGAGCCCCCCCCCCATCCCACCCTTACATGGAGCGGCAGCAGGACCTCCAACATCATATCCCAAACCCCATCAACTCTCCCAATGGCCTGAGTAAGTCCAATTGAATATAGTGGGGTTGACTTCTGAGCAAACATTTTTCAGGATTCTTCACTGGTGTGTAATCCTATTCAGTTTTATCTGAAAATAAGCCCCATTATATGCAGTGAGGTTTATTAGTAAATATGTTTAAACTGAGATACCCAAGGAAAAGCATATGAGATTAAAAAAAACATCAAGTGTAGTAAAGCAAGTCATATTTAACATTTCATCTTCAGTGAAATGGCAAATTTTAATACTTTCAGAATTAAATCCATGTTGCTTAAGTTTTGATATCAGCAGACCTCTAGTGGCTGTTAATGTGAACTGATACTTCTTTTTACTATTTTAGTTAAAGAAAATTGCTAAATGTACCAAAAAAGAGAAAGAAGCAATGATAGAGAAATGTCATACTAAAGGAACATTGAAATGGTCACTGATGATGATGCAGCCCTACAGAAGTCAATAGTTTCTACTATCATTAGCAGCCATTGTCATTGCCAAAAAAACAGGAGAGAAAGACATCATAGACATTCAGATAGTCAAAAGCTTGAGTAAACAGCAGCACAGTTTATGTTCTGTTGCAGTGACATGATGGAACCCCTGGGTAGCATGTGCACTGCCACAGAGGTACAGTGTAGTAAATGCAGTAAAGGGTTATTATTTCTGCTAATATATACTGTTTTACAGCCTTGACTCTCATGCCTCTGGTAGATAAGGCTATGTCAACTTTCCTGTTCTAGAATACAATTCAAAGTTCCTCAATATTTGTTCAAATTAAAACTGCAAATTGCAGCCCTGGACTATTTGATAGCTCCATTTTGAAACTGTTACTATTATGAAATGAAATTAGTACGTATTTGAAATGGGTTGTTTAATTATGGTTAAAATATTATCATCATTGGTTGTGATCAGGGATGTAAAGAATACTTGCTAGATTTCTCCTCTTCTTTTGCTTAGGTTGTCTCAACACACAGAGACACCTTGATGAAAAGTTTGCAAATCCTGTGAGATTCCTTGGCTGACTTGATAGCTCAGTGAGCTAGGTATCTAGGTGTGGAGCCAGAGGTTGGGAGTTCAGTTCCCCACTGTGCATCTCAATTTGCTCAAAGGTCATTGAGTTGATAGCACCAGCAAATATTGCACACTTTTTCAGAGTGAGCAGAAATGTTTACCAGTACTTATTCTCACCAGCACCAATGAGACACACAAGGGTTTACATCTCTAGTTTTGATCACCATATTTTGAAAAAAGGCGAACTCCATAAATTAATTAGCTGCTGTTATGGATGATCAGTTTCAGAGGATGACCCTGAGTCCTTTCTGGTGAAGGAGGCTCAAGTGCTCTGAATGTGGAGAGTGCTTCTGCATAAAGTAGGCCCTTGCCTCTTATCAATCACATCCTGGGTTTCACAGCAAGTACTTTGTTCCTCTTTTCTGTTAAAGTGGAGAAGATTAGACTTGAGGTCAGCTGACTTCAGTTCGAAAAGCAGATCTCTTAGGTTGATCAAAATAATGTAGAGCATTTTACTGCAATTCTTTTCTCACACACTCAATTAAATACAGATCATACATCTGAGCCACACTTTATCTAGGAATGCTGCTCCTGGAAGCATGGAAATGCCCAGGAAATTTTATGGAGACGGTAGGGGCTGCCCTTTCATTAAATAAGCTTTTAGATGTACAGTAGATCACAGACGTGGTGGCGCTGTGGGATAAACCGCAGAAGCCTGTGCTACAAGATCAGAAGAACAAGCAGTCGTAAGATTGAATCCACGCGACGGAGTGAGCGCCCGTCGCTTGTCCCAGCTCCCGCCAACCTAGCAGTTCGAAAGCATGCAAATGCAAGTAGATAAATAGGGACCACTTCAGTGGGAAGGTAACAGCATTCCGTGTCTAAGTCGCACTGGCCATGTGACCACGGAAGATTGTCTTCAGACAAACGCTGGCTCTATGGCTTGGAAACGGGGATGAGCACCGCCCCCTAGAGTCGAACACGACTGGACAAAAATTGTCAAGGGGAACCTTAACCTTTACCTTTTTAGATCACAGAAGGGAGTACACCCCCTCACATTTCCTAAGTATTTTAGTATATATTTTTCAGGTGACAACACTGAAGAAGTGACACTTGGCTACAATGTAAAGCAGTGAGTATACAGCTTGTATAACAGTATAAATGTGCTGTCCCCTCAAAATAATGCAACACACAGCCATTAATGTCTAAACTGCTGGCAAGTTTCTTGACTTGTGAATGACTGTTTCAGGCTTATTTCTATGACAATCATTATATTAACAAGATGTCCACACATACATCTGGTTTCATTACTCTGCATTCCTTTTATTATGCAGGCTCAGTCCAGGAAATAATAATTGAAAATTAGATTACTAATGTACTTATCAGTCCCAAAATGTCTAAGACCTTGAACTATAAGGTAAATTGCGCCAGCTCTATTAATCAGTTGGGAGCTGGGGAAAAGGAGTGCAAATACATAATCACATAATCTTTCTTCCTCCTCCTTTCTAATATGCTCTCATCAGTGCTTACTTTCCAATGAAGAAAAGAGAAAATGCTGAGATTGCAGTAGCTAGATCAAGACTATAAATTGCATACTTCCTGGGGAAAAAAATTATTCCTTATGTTTTAAAAGATTTAAAAACAACACCAGTAGCATATTAGGAAATTTAATTTCTGCTTCCTCTAGCATTTCTTGCCCTTTCTCCCAGGGCATGGAATACATGAATTACAAATAAGTACAGTGGTGCCTCGTATAACGAGTGCCCCATTTAATGACGAATTCGCATAGCGATGGCAAAAATGCCATCGCTTTTGCGATCGTATAACGAAGGTGCCTATGGGGAAAAATCGCTTTGCGATGTTTTCCCCATAGGCACCATTTTCCCCCAGCTGAGCGGCGGGAGCCTCCAAAGGAGCGCTCCCACCACTCAGCTGGGGGAAAATGCCTGCGGTGGCCTTCGAAGGACCCTTCCGAAGGGTCCTTCTGAGGCCACCGCAGGGGGAGGGGGGGGGGGGGAAGCAGCCCCTTAT